CACATTAGCTAGAGGCGGGGAAACACCACAGCTACTGTGCCGCAATAAAAAGAAAAAAGCAGAGGAAAAATAAACAACTGGTGAAAGCTGGCTGAGCTACCGGTAACGGATGGGCATCGTTCCGGTAAGCTACCAGCCGGCTACTGTGCATTAAAAAAATTACTATGCAAAATTATATAAGGCTAAGTAATGAGATCGTGGTTGGAGGGGGAGACTAGAAGGGATGGGGAGGGACAAAGAAACTCACAGCACGAATGCCACTGAGGTCGGCTCCTAGCCATATCAGCAAGTGTGTCCAACCAAACGTGTTCATCGTCTTTCGGACCCCAACCAGGGAGCCGAGACGATCCAACCGAGGCCAGCTCAGAAGTGAGGGCCTTCATTCCTCTGGACCAAGTCATCGCTTGGCCACCCCTCCTCTTCTTCCATCCACACCCCCGGCGCGCAAACAACACACGTCGCGGAAGTCGGTGAGCTGGCATGCGTAACACGTGGCCGAGCCATCGGAGCCTGATGCGTGAAATAACGGTGCTGAGCGGTTCATTTTCTTTTCCTGTGCCATAAACAAGGCGTCGAACACGCTCGTTACTCACGCGGTGTTCCCACCAAATGTGAGCTAAAGTACGAAGGCACCGGTGGTCGAACGTAACTAGCCTCTTCAGGTCCGCTGCTTTAAGCGGCTAGGTTTCACAACCGTACAATAGGGTCGAACGTACTGCTGCATTGTACACTCTACCCTTCAGGGAAAGTGTGACGTCGCGCCGGCGCCAAAAGTGGCGAAGGTTAGCAAAAGCGCCCCGAGCTTTCGCTATACGATTCATGATCCCATCCTTAATCCTACGGGCGCTGATACAACTTCCCAGGTAGTTGAATTTTTGAACGACTTCTAGCTGATCCCCACCAAGGGTCAGCGTAGGAGGCGGTCCGGACCAATCTTGGAGAAACGCTTTGCACTTCGAGGGTGCGAAGCAAAGCCCGAAGTGACGGACAGCTAGTGCTAATCTGTCCAGTGCCGCTTGGCACGTTTGTGAGCTGTCACAGATGAGGGCAATATCATCAGCATACTCTAAATCAAGAAGTCGTTCTCCTGGGAGTAGCTCCACACCTTCTAAGTCGTGTCCTGTAAACGCGACTTCCATGACTTCGTCAACAGCGAAGTTGAAGAGAAAAGGTGTCAGCGGGCATCCTTGTCTCACGCCGCTGGAGATATTAAAGAGCGACGACAACTTGTCGTGAGCTCTCACTCTGCCCGAGCTACGCGCATATAATGCTCGGATAATATTTACATATTTCTCAGGTACACCTTTCCTGAGTAGACAGTCCCAAAGTGCATATCTTTACACCGAATCGAATGCACCTTTGATATCGGGGAACACGACAACGGTGGGCCGCCAATATATGTGACGGTGCTCCAACAACTGACGCAAGGTGAAGATGTGGTCAATGCAGCTACGACCTCGACGAAATCCAGCTTGCTCTTCACGAATCTGCATTTTAGATGCAGCGCAGATGAGACTTATCCCTCTGTGGTCAGCACAGTCTGATCGGGCACCCTTTTTAAAGACGGGCACGAAGTCCGCTAGACTCCAATCAGAAGTGATGGCTTTGATGTCCCAAACCTTTGAGACGAGGGAAGTTAGCCCCCGAAACAAGTGATAGACCTCCAACGCTGAAAAAGCTGGAGGGAGTTCTTCTGGGCCGAGCCTTGTGGCGCTTTAGGAAGCAAAGCTCTTAAGCAACCTCAACATCAGAAGCTGGTGAAGCATCTACACATCAGGAAGCACTACGGATTTTCGAATGATGGATCACCGGTGCTGCATGCCACTTGAACTGCTTCTCAAATCGCACAACCCGAAACACAAGTCTACGTTGTTGGCAGTGGACTCGCACGCCATTAGTTTCGCACAAAACGTGTTTTAAAGTCGGCATTTTGCCGGCAATGGATCGTATCAAGTGGAAAAGCTTTCGGGAATTCCTCGAGCTAGCCGCGTACTCCATAGCACCGACCTGTTGCGTCCACCAGGCCTCACGATCCTGTTGAAGGAGCTTTTTGTGTTCAGTGTTAATGATCCTACGTAGTGAATGATACTCAAAGCAAGCTAGAATTGCTCGACGAGCTTCGAGACATTACAAAGATCATTCAGAGATCCAGTGCTTGACATGATTATTGGTGAAACGACAGACCCTGGTCCCAGAGTTGCGCATTGTTCTGTGGATGTCTGCTCAGTGCATTGCCACGTCAAATCATGAAGGAATTTTGCGATTTTAGGCCAACGGATCCCGAAACACGTTTAGCACGCTTGGAGCGATGTCGTTGGAAGCTATCAAAACCCAAAGCAATCTTGACACACACGAGCGCGTGATTCGAATGAGGTACGTATTCCAGATTGATTTGCAATCCTGTAGGCCGCTCCGCCAGTGATAACTGATAACCATGTTGTTCATCTGCGTCCATGACTGGCCAGGTGACAGAGGCCTCCAGATCGCGCGTTGGCGCCAGGATAACGGAAAGCTAATACTCGACAGGTAGAGCCCATGATCGGCGCAAAGCTGAAGTAGGCGATCCCTGTTATCTGTTCTGCGAGTGCCCTGGCCATGTTGATCACCGAGTTTACGCTCTTCAGCTTCAGGTTTACCGACCTACACGTCTAAATCCCTACAAGCAGCAGCACATCTGTACGGCATTTTTTCGGTGAAGGTCAGAGAGTTGACAGTAGAGCTCGTCTTTAACTGACTCCGGGCTAAGGTCGGTGGGAGCGTATTCTGCTACAAGGAATAAACAATATCTGCTGGTTCCAAGGCCGGAAAGTCGCACTGTCGGATAGCACAGAGTCGACAGTTGACAGTGCTCCAGTCAAATAGCGCGACATATGCACGTGTGCTTAACGCGATCCCCCTATCACAACACAAGCGGCCTTGGCGATTGCCTCTCCAGATTTGTGCATATTGAAAATGCAAGTGGAATTCATAGAGGGCGAAAATAGTCCTAGCTTCGTGAAAGAGTCATGTAATCGGCTACAGAGTGGCAGCAGACATCAACGACGGTAGACGTAAGCGTGGAAGCAAGAGCTGCTTGTGATCCGAACTGTTTCAACTTCCATATGTTAAATGTTGCCAGCTTGAATTGAGAACCGGCCGCTAGAAATGTTTTGCCAGTACTAGTTGGCGGTACACCCTGGGACCTAAATTCCTGATCCGAATAGCGTGAACACTCGCCCAAGGCGGCGCGATGTGATGGACTCGGAAACGGAGGGGGGTTACCAAGGATAGGATATTTGAGCAAACGACAAAATAGCCTGTAGCTACTGTATACAATGATGCACAATGCTAAGTTAGATCTTGTCTGGCAGTCTTAACGAAGCCCCAGCAAATGGTTTATCAAAAGCACTGAGGAAGCTCAAATAAGCAAAGATTCATGTGTTAGTGTCCGCGAATACACTGTGCAAGACCTCATTTGTGGTGTACCAGCGTGTTGTTAGGTTTAGTTCGAAGAGATAGGTCCTGTTGGATAGTAGTTGGCAATCCGTATAAATTGAATGCATTTCCGAAGTTGTGGCACAAGAATGTGAGGGGAGACGTTCAAGTTAACACTGAGCACAAACTTGTACGACTAGCATGAAATGTGGTGTATCACAACATACCCTCTAGATATGCTGTAAAATGCCTGGGAGCAGCTTTATTCCAAGTCTACAATGATCTTGCCAGTGTACTCCAATCGAACTTCCTGCTATTTGTAGTTGACGTCAGGGTCTGGCACGACATCATTACAGTGGATGATCACACCGCACTGCAGTGTGGACACAACAGGGCCTATTTATAGTCACCCGAGAACCGGTTCCAGTTTAACGTGATGAAATGCAGTCTTGAGTCTACCCCCAGCGTTCCCATGCATATCATTTTGAGAACAGCTTGTGCAACGTGCTACTCAAGAAAGCGATCTTAGAGTAATGATGCAGTAAGACCTTGGCTGTGTGAAACATACCGAAAAAGCATGCAAAGTAGCCAGTCAGTTGTTTGAACTCCTACTGAAGACGTTCGGAAAGTTTGAGTGTTTTATCTGTCCACATATGCTGAACGTCTACGTGAGGCCGCTTGTGAAATATGCCATCCAAGGATGGCGCCCCTGGCGCAAACACGACGCTGGTACTCTTGAAGCTGCACAACTTCTGGAAAAAGAACTCGCTAAAAGTTTGCTAAACTTCCCTATCAATACAAACTATAGGCCATACGCTTTTGCAGTTGTGATTGTCGGCACCTGCGATGAGACTTATGATGGTGTGCCAAATATTGGTGGATTTCAATCACACTTATTGTAATTTGTTACAAGTCAGCCACAATACTAAATTCAGAGGCCACCAGTTTAAACATGGTACGCACTATGATCGACTTGATTGAAGAAAAAATATTTCCTCCCTTCGAGTAGCCCGGACATGTAGCGTTGTTCAAACCAACGTTAGTTTTGCGCATATATTACTGACCATCAACAGACGACCGGACGACACTATGCCATTTACATTACGTGACATAGTCCGTTTCAATCAGATGACGAAATAATGCGAACCGAACGGTGTGCTAACCGATTCTCCTGGTAACGTCTTGGTTTGGAAACCTGCACAGCATGGGGAGTCACGTGAACCACGAATTTCCTCCGTTTTACTACTATTATTATTACTTTTGTTCTAAATTCATACTGCGGTCCTCCTGTGGAGTACTCGTTTGTTTACCCGCTATAAATCTTTGTTCATTGTTCGGTTCCATATATTGAGCCTGAAGACACCTTATAACGTCACAATCTCGTAGTTGATAGAAAGTCGTCCCAGTGGATTCCCCATGGGTGTCCTTACGGTCCATGGGGCTTAGAACAACCGGAAGTCTTTTGATAAACACCATGCAATGAGCTGTGGTTCACCAAACAGACAGGCAAAAGTGAGGCATTAGCAGTATTTGTACGTTTATGATCATCTTTACACGGTTAATTGTGTTTCCATTGTACATCACAGGGCATTTTCCTAAATAGAGAAGAGATGGAGAAGACAATGGGACGCAGCTGATACTGCTATCGCTTGTGAATCACACCTCTGTGGACCGTTTAAACAAGTGTAACTGAGACCCTAAAGTGAAAAAGTGATCGTGATGAATTAGAGATTGAACATAACGATTTTCCATTGCACTTCTGGATTACTCTTAGCTGTCAATGTGTTTGTTCTTTTTCACGTGACCGGGACACACTCAGTAAAGCGGGTTCATACAACGTCCTATGCCCATTCGTTCGGTCAATAAACCCAAAAAGATTCAATGACTAGAAAGTGTACACGTCACCAGTTGCCTGGTTAAACAAATGCGGACACTTAAACAAAGTTTAGAATGCACTCAGCTCAAGGTTGCTAGTGCCAGGTCACATATCTGTAGCTCACCTAAAATGGTGACAGTTCTATCGGCAACGGTCCACTTTAACTTTTCAAGTTGAATGAAGGAGTGTATGGCACTCATATCAATCGATCTATCGAGAGACGATGCCCACGAATTGGTGCAGATCACACTACGTCTACGCGCGCATATAAACGCTGAAGACAAAAGGGGGATTTTCATTGTTGCAAACAATGGTACAGATATCACTTGAAGTGGAAAAACGTTATGCTGCGTAACCTGATCGCGATGTTCTGTTTTCGCTTCCACTTTGAACAGGATGAAGTGTTTGCATTGCGCGAAGCTGTAAATTAATCACAATCCTCCAGATATAGGGCAAAGAGTTGGTCATACTTTCAAGTTTCACTTTTATTTTTCAACAGACGACTACAAAGTGCACGCAGATGGTTGCGGGGGCTTATGGATTGGGATGGAAAAGGGAGTAAATAACACTGTAAAACCAAAAATGCAATCCAAATAAAACAGTTATTTAGAAAAAGTGCCAACGTGTGCACTTGGTGATAATGTAAGCTAAGTAGGAAATACGAATGGGAGTAGGAAGTCGGTTTAGTTTTGTCTTTCTGATTCCAGTATCCATGTGAGATGGACGCGACGGAGTACAGGTAAGCTGTAGTGTAGGAATAAAAACCTCTGGAATCGCAGGTTGCCTCAACTTTTCAAATTCACTGAGTGCTGCAAAGTAGCTTTAGTCTAATGAATCAATAAATATTCGAGTTGAGAGTTAGGCTAAGCCGGGAGCGTGTGTCCGAAACATTTCCGTGATTTTACATACAGCGACCAGATGGAGGTGGGAGATTACTGAAAAGTAAGACATATCGCCAGTTCTTTTAACTTACCGATGCATATATGTTTTCGTGAGCACGCAGCGTCTCTGTTTCCAAAAGCAAGACGTCTTCAAATGTGAGCAAACCGAAGTGGCACCGTAGTTCACAGACATTGCCTTGTGCTAAATTGAGCCAAGCGGAACAAAAATTGCGGCAAGGGATTTGGGTTACAGTTGGGTGCATTGGGTCTTTGACGTAAGGCAACCAATCACACACGGAATTTTCATTCGTATCTCACTAAGCATCTGTAGTACGATGACGTACACCCAGGAACGAAAGCAGTACACTCGGACAGACATGTGTCGTACTGTCCACTCAGGGAAAGGAATTCCCTCTGGACACAGGCTCACGCATTGTCAGAGATCAATCGATAAATACTCATTCAATCAGTCGCAGCCCACTGATCTCGTACATGTAATGGAGGTGGGACGAGAGAGCCAGCAGTGAGCGCCCTCATCACCATCCCCTCTCCCCAACTGAGCGTAGCAGGATGAGCCGTCAGTTGAGCGACCAGAGTACCCAGCTTGTGACTTCATTGCTGTATATTGACACACGTAAAACTGGCTGTCATTAATTGCTTGCTGGTACAGTCCAACCTGTCTAAGGCGACCACTCAAGAGACCGACAAAAGTGGTCGCTTTGGACAGGTGGCAGTCATGGCCAGAGTCATGCATAGGGGTATTACTTATAGAAGAAAACGTTTGGGACCTTTTTGGCTGGTCCCCATAGGTAGGTGGTCCTCATAGCAGGTTCGACTGTATAATACGGGTTGGAAAAGTCAAGGCTTGACAAGTCCCGTGGGATAGTTTGTGTGAACTGCTTAAGTTCAAACAATGTGCCGGTAAGTTGGAACGCGCATCTGTGAACTCACCATAATATAAATGTTAACATGTATACGTTTTACCATGATTTCGTGTGGATTGTTGGGCACAATGTCCGTCTGCGTTTTGCTGGGCACAATGTCCGTCTGCGTCTTGCTGTCACTTGATGAGCGGAATTTAAACCTCGTGATGCAGGTGGCCTAATGCATCATCAAGTCGTCTGTAGAAATGGGTAACGTGAGCGCAGAAATGACTTGTCGGAACAGCGTTCAACGGTTTGCCAGATTCGAAGCGGTATTCCACCCGAATCTTATTGAAAGGTCCGTTTCAGCTGTTAACACCACAATTTTGTGTTGCGGCTACGTTTAAGAAGGTGGAGGCAAACATGACTAAGGTTTTTCAGAATCTCATACGCCAGAGTGCGGTCACCAAGTAGACAGCATTAACTACGGTTGTACACTCCTGCTGCTTTCGGTCGCAGATAGTATGGCAAGTGTAACAAGCCCTTCACATTTTTGACGGCCCTTCGCTATGAGGTCTCTAGTGCAGTTAGAACGAGTTTTGGCCAGAGGTTCGAGGCCTGAATCGCGTACACTACATGATGTCTCACATATGCATTAACACTAGAACGCCCGGAGCGGTCATTTTGACCGCTCAGCGTTTTTAAATGTGCATATTTTCTACATTTATGGACATTTTTCAAAGATATTTCGTGACTTTTAATATTTTTGGACGTTCTTCATTACTGTGAATTTTCGTTTTCATATCTGTTATAGTTTTCGAGAAAAGAGGCAGCTGTGTTCATACTACCTAGAAAGCCCGTTAGCGGTCAAAATGACCGCTTCTCTCTAATCCGGTTCCTCTTTTTATTTTTAGCCACCACTATCATTTCTGACAGTTATATACTATAGCAGTCAAAACGGGAGTGAAAACTAGCCGAATCACGATTTTACTGTGATATTGTGCGTTCAGTCAGATAAATTCCAGTGACATTTTTGTACACAATGGCATTTCTGAGGAAAACAGCCTTTGAGGTTTTACGAGAACTTACAACTATCAATGACAACGAGTCTGGAGACGAGAACGATTATGATGTTGATGAGGACTCCATCTTCCATGAGTCAGCAGAAGATCACAGCATGTCTGATAGTCAAACGTCTGATGATTACACTCCATATGAGGACCCTAGAGAGAGTGTATCAACCGATTCGGTATCTCCCGGTGAGCTTCACGTATCGAAAGATGGTAGCACGTGGATCGCAGTGGAGTTCGAAACATCTACTGTTGGTAGGATTTCATCACAGAATGTGTTTAAGGCTAGACCAGGACCAACTCCCTATGCTAAGAAATGTGTGAAATATGGTGAGCTGTCGAGCACTTTTGACGTCATAATCACGCTCCAGATGCTGAAACATATTCAAGTATGCAATGAAGCTGAGGCCAAGAGATTTTTAGGTGCCAGTTGTCAGTGGAGCGTAAGTCTTCCAGAGCTGGGTGCCTTTATTGGTCTACTTTACATCAGAGGCTTCATGGGTCTGAAGAACATGCCGTTGAATATGATGTGATGCGATAGATATGGACTGCCTATTTTCAGGGAGACAACTGGCAAGAACAGTACATGTCCAACAAACCAGATAAGTTCTGTAACAAGTTTTGGATGCTGGCAGAAGTAGACAGCAAGTATCTCGTTAATGGATTTCCATATCTCGGGAAGGACGAAACTCGGTCAAGAGGAGAAAGTCTTGCAAAGATCGTGGTATTGCGCTTGGTGTCACCATTATTTGGAAAGGGGTACAATGTCACATGTGACAACTTCTTTACATCGGCAGCATTAGGAGAAATGCTGGCCAAGAAAAACACAAGTATGGTGGGAACACTTCGAGCTGATAGAAACGAAGTACTATCGAGTTTGAAGCAAAGAAATAGAGAGCTGTTCAGTTCACTTATGATGAGGAATGCAAATAAGCACACATTAACATCCTACCGGTGTAGAAGGAATAAGAGTGTTTTGGTTTTCAGTTCTCTGCATAGTAACTCTTCCGTTCAAGACTCTGGAAAGAAGAAACCCGAGACTGTGTTGTTTTACAACTCCACAAAGTATGGTGTGGATGTACTCGACCAAATGAGAAGAGCACTCACTGTGAAGTCATCATCTCGACGATGGCCAGTCCAAGTCTTTTTCAACGTACTGGATTTGGCTGGCATAAATTCCTGGATAATTTATAACAGTGTTTGCGGAACTAAAATATCTCGCCGGTCGTATCTGGTGGGTCTTTCGGAAGAACTGCTTACATGTATACATCACACAAGGTACGTGACAACGGGAATTACGACGAACAACTCAGCGGAGTCGGGAAGTCGTGTGAACATTAAACGTCGGCAATGTCAAATTGGTTACTGTAAAGGTAACAAATCACAAAACAAGTGCTCTGTTTGTGAAAAAAATAGTTTGCGGCTCAAGTGGACAGACAGATTGAGCGAGTTATCACTTGCTTCAACTGCAAATTGGAGTAGGTATACGGAATTGTTTACAATTTTTGAAAAAAACTAAACCTTAATACAATCATTTTTCTGTTACAGGTATGTTCTATACATTAGTTTTTAGTAAATGCCGTGAAAAAATTCTTAACTGAAAGTTGGGATAAAAGATATAGCAGTGCGGTCATTTTGAACGGTCCCGGGCGTTCTAGGTATAACGGCGGAGCGGTCTTTCTAGTGTTAAGTATTTGAGGGAAGACGGAAGGGTATAAATGCCCGAACGCCCTCCGTAAGAGGCCAACATTTTGGTTCCCGGTTTTGGACACTTTTAATGACTTCGCCGAATACATGCATTGTATTTCGCGAAGATAATTCGCAGTTAGACTCAGGCAGACAGTCACCACACGTTCAGGGAAGCACTAGATGGCCGTTTCGTCCTATTGGGACTAGTCAGTAGTGCGGACCCGCCGGATTCTGCCGGATTCGAACTCACGACTTTATGTCACGGAGTCATGGGCAACGGCGGCTCGCCGCCATGACTGATAGCTTACTGCGATATAGCGCGGTTCATCCTCCGCTGTCATGCATGTTATGAACATGTAGAGCACAGGGCTGACCCCCAGAGCAACAACTTCTTTGCAAGCCGCCACCAATCGAGGTGGCATGTAAGCTGCTAAGGCGACGACTGCTTATTTGTAAGTAGCAGTAGTAGCAGTAGAAGTAGCAGTAGTAGTGGTAGTAGTAGTAGCAGTAGTAGTAGTAATAGTAGTAGTAGTACTAGTAGTAGTACGGTATTGAATTCTATCACACCCCCAAGGTCACGCTCTTGAGAAGCGGTCTTCAAGATGTTTATCTTGCTTGTATGTGTTATCGGGCTTGTAGGGTGTAGGCAGATTTTACACGATTGGTACCATCTTATGATGTGACGGTTTGAAGCTTCCGTACTATCTAGTACATTAGGGCAAGGCAAATTGTTCCATACTCACTGGAAATAAACTGTGCATAACTCGAAACAGTTGAATTGTGGAATGGATCGTATGGCGAGGGCGTTCCACTCAAAAAGAGTCAAGGCGATGATGACTTAATTGCATATAACAGAGGCCAAAATTGCGTCATAATGATAACGGTCAAATTGCTCATAACAGCGAGCCAAGCAGAAAAAGTGTCAACGTGGTGATGGCCTACTTGCATATAACAACAGCCAATAAGCGAGTCAAAGTGATGACGACTTATTTGTTGAAAGCCAAAACCGCACATAGCCAGATGAGACGTGGAAGTGTGGATGAAACACTTCGAAGAATTATGCCGCATGGAAGCAAGTTCCCAACAAACGGTTCCATAGATGGCCGCGTTACTTTACTTGAATTGCCGGCTATACCTGCATTTATTCTTACTTTTAAACTCAGTCATTCACTACATTTAAATGGTAGAACCAACTTTACACTCCATCGGGACCATTGAAGAGCTAGATCAACATTCGCCACCATTAGATTGTGTACAAATTCATCAGGCCACGTAATCAGTCTAGCTCACACGGGTGCGCCGAGGCTGCACAATACGTATGGGCACATTCGTGAAAAGCGATTCCATATCTGTGGAATACATGAGCACTGCATCAAGCGTTGTCGATTTTAGCTGTTGATATTGTGACTCAGAGATATAACCACAATGCAAAAAATTTTGTAGATGCCTTGTAATTTGTTTCTCCATTAACATATTGTTGTCCAGTGTCTTGCCAATACGAAACTTGCGTCTATCTAGGAGGATCGACTCCATTTTGCGGTATAATCAGCTTTGTACATTATTACCACACACGTGCCTTTATCCGGCTGCAGGAAAAAAACGTCCTTCATGTTCTGCAGCTCCTTGATTGCCACAGTGTTCCGAATTCTAGCAACATCTTTGAATAATAATCGCGTTCGGGAACTGGTTCGAGATATCCAATAATTTTGCCTGAAACCACCCTGCATCACCCGTTGATTTCGGCGAAAGCTCAGTGAGTTGATCGTACAGATATTCAAAATTAATCTGTGTGTGGAGCCTCTCCACCTTCGTCGGCGGTATTCGGTATTTCAGTCCCCATTAAAGAACCTCCAACTGTTCTCGCGTGAACCGAGCTGTTTAGAGATTGTACACATGCTTCTGGTCCTCCGTAGGGAAAGAAATGTTGGCTGCTCTCACAAGGATACTTTGAAGGCTGCGCAGTGTCTTGGTCCTAGTACGCTGGAGAGTTTCGGCAGAAAATGCCTCAAATTTGAAACGGCAAACCGGTGACAAGCCATTCAAAACAACTACGAATCAATTTTGTGTATCCAGGAAATTATGTTCTCGTTCAATGCAGGCATTGATATGTGCGGACGCGATCCTGGCTAGATTCACATTGTTAGCAGGCACCTAATTTTTCGACAGGATTTTAACAAAGTGAGATGGCAAGACTGGTAGCCGACTGGCTCAAAGGGTGGCGGAACACTTCCCATTGTGGCTAAGGCCGTTGCTGTCTCCCCAAGGCGGAGTGAACCAAAGTATGAATCGGAACCCTGTCTCGTCTATCACCAAACACCTAATGACGACTCGTCACCAAGTGAACCCAAGCGATTCATTCAAAGTGCTATTGCGCAACAAGAACCCGACGTTGTTAGCAATGGGAGTGGCACTACTGATCCGGTTGAATCGTCCCGCGATCTGTGCCCAGAAACAACTGGAGCAGTCAATTAGATTGCCATGGCCCTGATTGCGTTATGCACCTCAATTTCATCTGTTTATCTTTGTTATTAAGTGTGGACCGTATTTAATGCGTATTTTGTTCTGCCTTTATTACATAGCGACCGATGAGAGCAATCGAAATGTTAACATTTTGCAACTAATGTCTTCTTACTGCGTTAATGAAGTGGCTCAATTTTGTTAAGTTCGTCGCTTGGCGATGGGGTTGCCCTGTTGTCTACACGGCAGTGAGGTGCAAGTCAGTGGATATTTAGCGGTGCTATATCACATGTAGTAGCTTAGTCACTGTGGTGGTTACTGCTGTTGTAGGTCAGTGATCTAAACCGCAGGTTGGCAAAAGTCAAGTTCCTGATTCGAGCCCCACGAACATCAAACGTGATGTGCAATGCTGACGATTCCGCAAAGGATAAACCAGCCATGCATTGCTTTTCCAGCCGTGTGATGGCTATCTCACTGAATCCAGATGTAATGGATCTCTGTTTGTACCATTTAATTCATCCGACTGTTCCTTTGTTATGACCTATGAGTGCACACATTTCGTGAAATTTGTTTGGTTTGTCGCAGTTAGAGCACAAGTCATATAGTTCAACTCCTAATTCCACCTACGATGGAGCAACACAGATTTTTATCTTCTCGCTCTCTAAGTATTCAGTAGTACCGCCCAAGTAGTCACACAGGGAATATTTTGAGAATAATGGAAATAAATGTGAAAGAGAAAACGGCTAAACACTTGCAATCATTGAAATTGATAAAAGCAGGCCAACATAGATTCTTGTCAGCTGGCGATTTTAAATAATATAGCAAGCATCACTGACAGTGGCAAAGCGTCCATCATTCTCTTCAATGATATACAGAAGGTCTATGACGGAATGCCGCACTGCAGTCTCTAGGAGAAATTGGCAGATTTCAGGATCACCGATCCTTTGCGTACATGTTTCAAATCCTACCTCACGTGTCTCGCGTAACAGGCACAAATATCTACCTGTTTCAAGAGCCATTAAAACCCTCACTCCTGAAGAGCAAAAGTGATGTGATCCAAGATACTGTGTTTGATTCCTTGCTATTCCTAATGTATATCAATGAGATAACTGAAACAATAAAAGTTGTGCACCATATATCTTTGCGGATGACATAAATATACTATATACCTTCGATATTCGAGTGATGCTCTAAGAAACATTCGCATAAACCTGCTGGCCTTGAAATTGTGTTGCACCAATTGGCAAATATCCTCTGCGGACAAA